TTTTTTTTTTTTTGAGACAGAGTCTCACTCTGTTGCCTAGGCTAGAGTGAGTGCCATGGCGTCAGCCTAGCTCACAGCAACCTCAAACTCCTGGGCTCAAGCGATCCTTCTGCCTCAGCCTCCCGAGTAGCTGGGACTACAGGCATGAGCCACCATGCCCGGCTAATTTTTTCTATATATATTAGTTGGCCAATTAGTTTCTTTCTATTTATAGTAGAGACGGGGTCTCGCTCTTGCTCAGGCTGGTATCGAACTCCCGACCTCGAGCAATCCACCCGCCTCGGCCTCCCAGAGAGCTAGGATTACAGGCGTGAGCCACCACGCCCAGCCTTGAGTTCAGTTTTGAAAACTTTTAGTGTGAGATGATTATAGAAAATTCTTAAGAACTGGTGATCTGAGTTTTCCTCTTTCTCCTGCAAAAAAAAGGAGTTGTCTTCTACAGTTTCTACTTGTTATTGAGAATGGATGTTGTCTTCTGTCAATAATAATTCAAAGAAATTAATAAAAATCTCAGGAAATCTCCTCCTTGCTCTCCCTTTAGTCTTAGGTCATTTTCGACACATGACTCTAACCTGTTGACCAAATGGTAATGAGATTCACTTTCATAAATCACACAGTCAACTTCTTACCTTATCTAAGCTAACCTCAAACATAGGGCAGCAAAAGTATATTTTCAGGGGTAAAGGAGTTTACTTTTTAGTCTAAAAACATATTCTTCATTAGTTCAACTATTCCTTTATTATCATACTCCTTTTTCTTTGGTTAGGAATTTGAAGCCAACATTAAAAATATAAATGCCTCCTGAGATAATGTAACTCATTAAGCCACCATTAACCATCAATGCTTTGTGCACAAGCAAGCTTTCCAGTTTAATCAGAGGTAGGTCCTGAGGCTGTGGGGACTAGCGAAATAAGTAAAGTTCCAGTTAGTCTGGACAGAGGAAAAGTTGTTTACCTGTTAGGAATGCATCTTAGCCAAAGGTAATGGAATATCCTACTAATGATGGCTTAAACAACTTGGAGTTTATTGATTTCACATAATAAAAAATCTGGAAGTAGGCAGCTGCTGGCATTGATTCAACTGTTCAACAATTTCATCAAGGCTCATTTCTACATTTTCTTTGCCATTCTTTGTGGGTTGGATTCTCATCCTTAAATTATTGCTCCAAGGTCATAAGATGGTTGCCCCAAGCTCCAGGAAGCATGACCACAATCAAGGCCAGGAATCGAGGGAAAAGGACAAACCTGGGCTAGGAAGCTAGAAAAGGATGTAACTATACTTTTTTGAAAGAAGAAGATATTTCTCAGAAAAACCTTTAAAAATATCCTCTTACATTTTAATTGTCCAGAAGTTGAGATTGTGCCTTACTTTACAAATATCAATGATTTTGGCCTATTACCTGAATAAAATATGGATCTATTAACAGGTAAATAGGGGTAAGTGGAATTCCTTTTGGGAAAACATACTCATTTGAGAGTCTGTGTTCTGGAGACAGTATAAGAAAAAAAAAAAGTTCTCTTCATACCATTTTCCTTCATTTTGTTTTTGTCAAGGAAAGAAATGTATGTAGGTAGTGGGTCCAGGGAATGAAGTGGTTTTTACACCTCATGGGGGTAGGATTTGAGGGTGGAGAAGAACAGCTTTTTAGTTTTCTATTAGGATTGGTCTCCTAAAATGCATATTTTAGATATATTCTAAGTTGTGTATTCTAGATATATACCATAGCCATATAAGATTAATTGACTGACCAAATATGATAGGATAAATGGTAGATTTGGAAAAATAAGAGAGTTTGCTTTAAAATGGGTAGAAACTAATGGGGGCTGAAGAATTCAAATGGGAAGTACACCTAGGAGCTTACAAACATGGTGCAGCTCTTACTGAGAGATGCAACAAAGTAATCCTTCTATCTAATCCTGGCAATAAAAGGTGGTAGAGGACAAAAAGTATGAGTATTGTTTACAGTGGCCTTTTCCCCTATAATCAGTGTGAGAAAACAGGAATGTCACTACAGAGTAGAATGAAATAATTATGGCAGCTAGCAGCTACATTCTAAACCATAAAGGTAATGTCAATTCATCTCATGTCAGACACTGCTACTTGGGCTGCACATCTGCATTATTTAATTTTTTTCCCTGACTCACTGATCAGCTATAGCCATGCTTAAAGGAAAATATGTAGCCTTATATGCATACATTAATAAAGAAAACCTGAAGAATTTAGAACCATAACTGCAAATTAAACCCAAAAATGTTAGAGAAAGGAAATAACATGGATAAAAACATAAATTATTGAAACAGAAAGTAAATTCATAATAAAGAAAACACAAGAGTCCATAGTTGGTTCTTTGAAAATATGTTAAAATTGGCAGATCACTACCTGGACAAGGAAGATATTTCTGTATTAGAGGCATAATATGAAAGATTCACAACATTCAAAATAGTTGGTTTTTTTTGTTTTTTTTTTTTAACATCAAGGGCGTGGGAATCTTACCAATTCTCCATAACATCTCATTTATAGCACAGGAAACAAAATACAGCCATGCTACCAAATAGTTGAGTTTTGCTTCTGGCATCTAAGTTTCCCTTCTCTTTCTGATCTGTTTTCATTGCCAAATCATTTGGGGGCATAATAGAGTCTTAGCCTAATGGGCCTTTTGGATGTCTGCTCTTTATCTCACATGGTTAGGGTATTGCATTAGACTCAGATGAACATGTTACTTCATTGGAAAATAATGGCATCTGGGCAGCATATATACCTACTTTATTCAGATTCAGTTATCCTCATGACTGTGGTATTTGGGCTGTTAATATTCTAACACAAACAAAGGGAAGTGTTTAGGCTCCTAAATGAAGTTGGAGTGACAATGTCATTATTAAAAGGGTAGAAGTTTAGAGAATAGAAAAATAAAATAATCACAATGGAGGTATTTGCTTTAGCCTCATGTACATTGATATTAGAAGAAGGAAACTGAAATGCTCTTTGCTCTTAAAGAGCAAGGCCAGTTAATGTATTCATTGTTGCCTTGAAAAATACCCGTGACTCATAGAGCTTTATTAAATTACTGATGCAGTTGAAGATTAACAGTTCTTTTGAAAAATTCCTTGTGAGTACAGATTGCACATGGATAAATTTTCAGAGGCAGCCATTCTTGCCCCTTTAGGGTTAGCTAGCTGTCTTCAGATTTCTTACTTGCGTGGGCCTGTTAGGAGTAGGAAGGTGGCATGATAAAGTCTGAGCTAAAATTCCAATTATAAAGGGAGATTATCAACAGCGTGGCCTGAGGTAGAACAAGGAAAGACTGTAAAAAAGTTGAGGCAGAATCTTGCCTTAATCATCTCTGTAACATGTTGTAGAAACCACATGATTTGTTTTTCTTTTAACTGAATTGAATTGAATTAAATTGGATTGAACTGGATGAGGTTCTGGATCATGAAAGACAGCTTAAAAGAAAAGTCAGACTTTTGAAAATACACCAAGTGTGAAATGAGCCAGGGGAAAAAGTGATATACACAAGGATAGTGACACAGACTAGTCCATGACCAAACTATAAAGGCATGAAAACAATGAGGGAAGAATGGATAGGATGAAAGATCACATAAACTGAAATAAATAAAATATCAACTAGCCTGTTTTCTAGCCACAGTAGTCCTGCACATAGAGTTCAATTAATATTAGCTGCTTGCTTTTCATGTTCTTATTTTTTCAATCTTAGTAAAATCATTAATTAAAACAAATGATAATCAACCTATACTATCAGTCAGACTGCGCTTATGGTTGACATGTTATATCTCTATTAAATTTCACAAAAAGGCTGTATTTATTTTTAGTATGTCCATTTGAAAAATGAAAAAAGTAAGTCTTAGATTGGAGACACGTTTTCAAAGTACCATATGTAGTTGGCATGTTCTGGGGGAAGGAAAAAATAGATAGTAAAGATATGAATGCACAAATTAATCCCCCAGTCAGTTTCATAGCCATTACCCCACCTACCTATTTGGCTTTTAGAAGAAATAAAAGTGAAAAACTTTGGAAAAATAAATCTTAAGAAGTTTTCTTAAATTCTAGCTTCTTTTAGGACATCACCATCCTGTTCTGTCTTTTGCTCTTGTTTTCTCTCAGTATTCTTTGCACAGTCTGTTGTTAATATCATAATGATAAATATCCATTTTCTGCTTTTAAAAGTATATAAAATAGATGGATTTTCTTTTTTTCTATGTAAGAAATAGCTACTCTAGAGACAGTGCTTATGTGATTCAAAGAATATTTATGTATTTAATTTATTTTAATTGTTATGTATTTATTTATGTTATATGTATGTATATATATTAATATATTGAATCCTTTGTTCAGCTCCCACCAGTTATTTATCTAGATCCTTCCATTAGCTAACTACACTCAATAGCACAAAAATCTTTAGAATTAATGTAGTACTTAAAGAACTATGCCAACAGAGCAAGTACGTCTTGTACATCTTTCTACAAAAGCTGCCTAGAGTATAACCTGGAGTCACACTACCTCTATTTGAATATAATTATCTGATATACCTTTATGAATTTGGGCAAATTTCTTACCATTTCCATACCTCAGTTTCCTTACCTATAAAATGAAGATAGAAATAATATTGACCTCAGGGTTGTATGTAGGATGATTGAATAAATTATTATATATATAAATTGCTTAGAAAAGTACATGGGAACTGTGCTATATAAATGTTAACTGGTTTTTTTTGTTTTGTTTTGTTTTTGTTTTTAGGATTTTCCCAAGCCTATTGTCCTACCAGAGTAATGTTGTACCAGCTATTCTCTATGACCCTTGAAAAATACATCTTTGGAGAAGAAGATGGGGAGTGGAAGAAGAGAAACAATGTGAAACCAATAATTTCCCCCCATCTCACTGACAGACTTGATGCCTGATCTATCTTTCAGCTGAGAAAGCCTTGGCACTGGAATTAGATTTCCCAGGGAATCAAATGTCTAATTCTCTCTCTGGAAGTAAAGTCCCAAAGTGCAGGAGGGAAGCCTAAGAAACTAAAGTCACTTAGGTTTGCTCCCCTTGGCAGTAGTGCAAGACAACAGCAGTCTATGGGGAGAATTAGAAATTCATTCAGACCCATGACTTTACATTCCATTGTGTTTTTTCTCTTGGAGAGAAAGTTTGGAATGCATAGCAACTCTGTGATCCAAAGCAGCTTGCTTGCTCCATAATGTGATACAAAACGGTAATAGTCAGGAGTCTTGAGAAATGAGTCAGAAGAAGATATTGCTCTTTTGGTTTTGAGTTATGGAAGCTCCGCTGACATCCACTGCGCACAAAGCTGTCTCTGTCCCAGATAGAGGTCAGGTAAATAAAGTTGGGGGAGGACACAGAACATGGCCTTGGTACTAATCTGATCAATTAGTTTGGTAAAGGGTGCCGTCTGACTACAGAGCTGTCCAGCAGGAAATGTGTAAGAGCCCCACAGTGAAAACAATTTCTGTTAATCACCTGCTTTCATCATGCAGATACCTTGAGGCAGCCGTGCTGGCATCAGAAGGGCCTGTCACTGGCTAAACTGCTGCCTAACATCCTTCCCGGGAGAAATCTGGGCTTCAGATTTACCTAAAGTAGGAAATATCATTAACTGCTCTGTTCTCTTATTAATTCAGTGTAAGCTTGAGAACCATGGTTTTTCTGATATTTCCTTTGTTGTCATTCAGTCTTTGGCTACTCAACACGTGTATCTATCAGGCTCTTGCTCTAAAAATGACCATGTTTGAAAATACAGAAAAAGAATGATGTGACCTTGAGTGTGGGCCACATTCCTATTCATTACTTGCTTGAAATGAAAAAAATAAATGCAAACAAGAATTACTCTTCATAAACTTGGTTTAATTCTTGCGAGCAAGTTTGTGAGTCATTTTATGAATGGCTCCCGCTTCAAATTAGGGCTCCTGTTTCCGCTTCCAATGAGCCTCTAGTATTACATCTAATATTGTTTCCTCTCAGCAATTGAAATGTACATCCCTGCTGGGTTGGTAAGAATAGAATTTCTTTCCGGAATTCTTTCTTCTTTCTGAATTGCTTCATTTTACTTCCCCCAAAACTAAAATAAAGTAATTTGTACTTAAGACCAGACAAAATTAACCTCGTGGCTTGTTCTCCTTTCAGTTTGCAACCTGACTGCTTGGCAAAGAAGGCTGCTTTCACTCCTGGCCCAACTCCCTCACCTCTCCTCACCTCCTCTGGGTAGGAAGAAAATGGCTACCATGGGTGGCAAATGAGCTCACACAGCTATAGAGTTCACCACTGTGGAGGTGGATGTGAAGGAAGGGCGTGCTGCCCTTCAGCAGGCTATGCTATGGGGCATCAGGGCTATGCTGCCTGTGCTACAGGTGCCACTCTGTTACCTTGTCCCTGGGCGAGTGTTCACAGTCCTCGGGTCTATCTGCATAGACCAGTAACTATGTAAGGTAGGCTCATGCACGCTGGGAAGAACTATCTCATCTCATTTCTCTGTTCTTAAGTATACAAAGCCATGTGTCAAAGGTTCTCCTCATCTTCTTTGTTTCAAAGGGAAAGGTTCCATCATGATGATAAAAAATTTTTGCTTCAAAACTTCCCTCCTGTGTAATCTCCCTCCACAGACATTACTAAACACAGACATTACTAAAAAGCCAGTGTTCTTTCTGCTTAGGCTGGGTATAGACACAGAATCCTTCTCAACACAGTGTTTGGGAAAGCTAATGCTGATTGATCAAGGTTGTTATGTACAATTAATAACAATAACCAAAACAACATTAAAAACACCGTATTTACCCTGCTCTCAACTTTATGCACCCAAATCTTCCAACATTGTTATTTGGGTCATGGATAAAAGGCAGAGACTCCAGCAATGCAATAGGATGAAGAACCATGCCATGCTTGAGAGAACTTTTGTTTATATTTCTATTGAGCTATTGGGTGAGGGTTAGGGAAAGAGAGAAAACAAACCTAAGTCCCATAAAATAATACTCGGTAATTATCATCGTGTATTAAATTTTAAAATTTATTAATGTCATGCCAACACAAATTTTTATATTGCCATTAACTACCATTATCACAGTATCATATGGACTAGAAAGGGACAGGAAAACATGTAGCAACAAGAGACTATACTCAGGAAACCAATACTTTCCTAGAAATATCCACTATCCTTCCACTTTTATATTTTTGGCCAAAATTGTGTCATATAACCACTCCTAACTGCTAGGGAAGCTGGTTAGGATATACTGTTTTTTAAAAGCTAACACATAGGTGCCCCAAACAAAACCAGAGTTTCTGTTAATATGAAAGGAAGAATAGATTTTAGATGAGTAACCATGTCTGACACATTCCCCTTTAGTACACACTCTCATAATATTAACTACCTTTTTTGTTAGAAATTATCATAGACAAAACTATGCATTTGCTTGTATCAATACTATCTTCACCACCAGATTGCAAGCTCTGAGAAGGTTGAGTATGTGTTTTTTGTAAGCTCTGAGAAGGCAGAGTATGTGTTTTTTGCTGACCATTTTATCTCCATTAATTAGCTCACTGTAACATAAATCATACATTATATATGTGTTAAATAAAACTCTACCACGTTTTTCTAATTCAGAAAAACAATAGATTCTACCTGGTTTGTATGTTTCTGTCTAACATCTCAGTCTTTTTGCTTTCACTCTACTGGCTGAGTGATCAATCCCTCTATAGGATTTGTTACCACATTAAACCCCTCAGCATTCACCATTGTCTTAAGGATAAAGTTGAGATACCTGAACATGATTTGCAAAGACCTTAATGACTTGCTACTAGTATGTTTTTCTTGCTTCATTGTTTAATGGTCCCTGCTTCTCATTCAATTTCTATAGTAACTATTTTTCAGTACCTCAAAAGAATTCTTTTTTTTTTTTACTTGAGATGTAATTCACAAAAAAGTGAAATTCAACTTTTTCTACGTACAAATTTCTGAGAATTGAAAGATGAATAGAGTGGATGATTACCACTGTATCAATATATATAACATGTACATCACTTCCCTAAATTCCCTCATGACCCTTTGTAGTCAACCTCTCCACCTACCCGCAGTTTCTGGAAACAAATGATCAATTCCCTGTGTCTATAGTTTCCTTATTCCAGAAAAACATTTAAATAGAATCAAATAGCACGGAACCTTCTGAGCCCAGATATGTGTACTTTGCATAATGCTCTTGAGATTCATCTATGTTGGTGCTTGTATCAGTAAGAGGTTCTTGTTTATTTCTGAGTAGTATGCCATTGTATGGATGTACTACAGTTTTTCCACTCATAATTAAAGAATATTTCCGCTGTTTCCAGTTTGGGGCAATTACAAATAAAGCTGCTATAAATATCCACTTACAGCTTTCTCTGTGAACATAAATTATCAATTAGCCTTAAAGTGGGATTGGAATTACTAGATTATATGATAAGTGCATGTTTAACTTTATAAAAAACAGCCAAACCATTTTCCAAAGTGGCTGTATCATTTTGCTTGCTCATAATATTCTCTCTCTCTCTTCCTCAGAAAGTATTTTCTCAGGAGAGGGGGGGGAGAGAGAGAGAGAGAGAGATTGAGAGAGAGAGAGAGGAGAGAGAAAGAGAGAAAGAGAGAGATCTTTATTTCAAAATATTACAGGGGTACATATATTTTTGATTATGTTGATTCTTTTGTAATGCTCAAGTCAGGGTTAAAAGTGTGCCCATCACCCAGACAGTGTTCATTTTATCGCTTAGTTAGGGTTTTGCCTGTCCCCTTTTCCCCCCTCCTTCCTATTTGATTTCCACTGAGTTTTACTTTCTTCTAACCATATGTGTGCTCATTAGTTAGTTCCAATTTAATAGTAAGTACATGTGGTGTTTGTTTTTCCATTATTTAGATACTTCACCTAGGATAATGGTGTCCAGTTCCATCCAAATTTTTGCAAAAGGCATTAAGCCATCCTTCTTCGTGGTTGAGTAGTATTCTATGGTATAAATACATCACATTTTGTTAATCAACACATGAATTGATGGGCATTTGGGTTGATTCCATATCTTTGCAATTGTGTATTGTGCTGCAGTAAAAATTCAAGTGACGGTGTCTTTTTGATAAAATGGTTTCTTTTCCTTTTGGTAAATATATAATAGATGGTTTGCTGAATCTAATGGTAAATCTACATTTATTTCTTTGAGGAATCTCCATACTGTTTTCCATAGAGGTTGTAATAATTTGCAGCCCCACCAGCAGTGTATAAACATTCCTTTCTCTGGCCATGCATGCCAGCATCTCCTGTTTTTAGACATTTTAATAAAAGCCATTCTGACTGTAGAAAGGTGATAACTCATTGTGGTTTTAATTTGCATTTCCCTGATGATTCATGATATTGAACATTTTTCATACGTTTATTAGCCATTTGTCTATGTTCTGTTGAGAAACTTCTGTTCATGTCTTTTACCTACTTTTTAATGGGGTTGTTTGTTTTTTTTCTTGCTGATTTGCTTGAGTTCTTTGTAGATTCTAGTTTTTAGTTTTTTATCGAATGTATAGTTTGCAAATATTTTCTCCTATTCTGTAGGTTGTCTATTTGCTCTGTTGATTATTCCCTTGGCTGTGCAGAAGCTTTTTAATTTAATCAAGACTCAATTATTTATTTTTGTTGTTGTTGTGATTGTTGTTGGGGTTCTTCATAAATTTTGCCTAGGCTGATATCTAGAAGATTTTTCCAACGTGTTTTTTTTTTTCTCTAGAATTCCTATTCAATAAATGGTGCTGGGAAAATTGGATAGTCACATGCAGAAGAATGAAACAGGATCCATATCTCTCACCACTCATATTCTCTTTTAATGCTGGCCTTTTACTTGTCTCACTATTGCTTCACTCTACTCATACTTAATTGTACTTTTATACCTTAGGTTTCAGTTTAGAGAGTATATCTTTGGGAAAGTCATCCCTAATCCCAGATATGAATTGATGCATTTCTTGGGTTCTATAATACTATTGTATATTTCATCAATTAATATCAAAAAATGTAACAGGATGCAAAAATCAAGACTATTTCAGTCTTAATTTGAGCCATGCTTGTAAGATAACAGGTGCCACCTACCCCAATATTCCAAAGGTATGTGCTATATACTATCTTAATAGAATTTACAAAGAAAATATTATATATATATATATATATATATATATATATATATATATATATATGATTTCAACTTAGCTTAGCACCCTTTAAAGGATAGATAAGAAAATTGAGATTAAAAGTCCAAAAGAAAAAGTTTCTCTGGAAAAACCATTTGCAATGAAGCCATATCTTCATTCTTCACATGGCATGAAGAGGTTACTTCTATTCCCCTTTGAGACCAGTGAGAGAAGATTCCAGAAGACCACTTACAGCTTGATTTTTTTTCACTAATGTTTGTAGGGACATAGCAACTGGTCCCACATCTTTTTCTAGAAAGGCCTAAAATTGTGATATTTGGACTAGATAACTACTGTGATGGTAGGAAAAGGAGAGGTAACTCCATTTGGAAAGTCATGGATATCTAAATTTTGGGGGCAAAGAATGTGTAATTCTTGTGGACCAAATGTGGGTCATATAATAAATAGCCTTTTGACACCCTTAAAAAAATTACACACACGTATTGCCTGGAAGGATAAGGGATCTCCAACAGACAGTCTGTGTCAGGTGGACTTTTAAAAACTATATGCCCTTCTAGAGGAGAAGACATTGCCCACAGTGAAAGAAGGAAAGGTGCAAGATACCCAATGACAATGGTTTCCCCAGAACCCACAAACACACTCCACAAAAGATCAATGCAAATCCTGGCTGTGTAAGTAATAAAGTATATTTGCCTCTTTTTCCCTTGAATAAATATTGTCACATTAGAAGAGATAGTAATATCTAATGAGTAGAAGGAAAAGGGTAGAAACATTAGGGGGAAATTAAAGGAAAAGAAAAAAATAATTAATAATTTATTTCTTCCCTATATTTGGTATTCAGCTGTGGTCAATTATTTACCATTATAAGTGATGACACAAACAAACATTGTGACATAAAGATAT